GTAATAAACTACACAAATTTTATATTGTTCCCATGTATAACTTGGAAATAAAACGTAAAAATAAGTTTTAAAGTTTCAACTTTAAAGACCTCTAGCTCAAAAATGGGGGCTCAAATTAATTAAATTTATATAAAGTTGTACCCTTATTTTGATGCCATTTATACGCTTCCATATTATTGACATCTATTTTCCGGACACCTTGTATATACGAGCGCGATTCTAATTGCAATCGTATATCGAATCGATTGACGAATTGCTCTAGTAATATTGTGGTCGAATAATTTTTGTGTGCCTTTATATAAATTTTAATTTCCCCGAACCCTTTCATGAAAATATCGCGACGAACACGCGCGTATATGTTTTGAAAAAAAAAACGCATAATAAACGAACCGGTGCGTTCGAACTAGCCGGTAGAAAATCGAGAAAAACCATCACCCGGCCCTACACAGTGGAAATGGTAAATGGAAATTGTGGAAACCGGAGGCCCTTATCGCCCGTGTAGCAGTTGTCGCAGCGACTTCGGGCGCAAGATCGCCCTAAAACCCAATTAACTGCTCATCTTACTAAATGAAAAGTGATCGAACGCCGCCCGGCAATCGACCCCCCCCCCACCCCCCAATCCCACCCTCCTACGCTCTCTGATGATGGCTATTAAAAGTGCCGATTGAGATGGAAATTGCCACGCGAATGGTCGCCCGAGATAAACCCGTCGACTGGTGGTACGCAGACAGCGCGGGCGTCCCGACGCCGGACCCGACGCCTGCCCTCGACCCCTCTTTAAGTCTGCTACTGTTACTCCAGTAATTGGAATTTCGCAATTAGCCCGTTTGTTTTGCCTTTTCTACTCCATCTATATAATCGATTCGTCTATAGTCCCTTCACTACTAGATTAAGAGTCAATAAGATGAAAAATTTTTTGATATTTAACACATTTTGAAATGTGACAGTATTAATCCTAGAACACGCTGGAAAAAAAAATCCTCTTGACCGCGCCAATTGGATTCGATCGGTAAATAAGGGCTAAGCAAACGGTAAATATTTGAAAGAAATACGCGAGTCTATATGAGATTTGTCGTGCGATGTGATATCGCAAACGAGTTCGATATGAAATCATAAGCGCGAGAGCTGGGCAAATAGCGGGGCCCGGCGTCTAATTGAAAATCCGGACCCGTGTTGACCCTGTAAACACTTGTCTCCCGACTTTGCGCTTTATTTAACCGAATATATACGGAGCCCTTTTCGGTGCGCCCGGTCCCATCTTTGATGAGTTTGTTTTCCGAACGTTATAGAGCCGCAATGAAGTTCTTTTATTATCGGCAGACGGGAGTTTAATATCGACGAACTTATTCGATGCGGATTATTAGCGGTTTTATTGTTTTCGCGTTCGTTACATTCGCGGTATTTCGATCGTTCGGCTATCGGTGAGATAAAATTGTGTAAGATACATTTTCCTCGTATACGTTAGGGTATATTATTTCCATATTCGTCGAACGTAAATTTAGAAACGACGTACGTTTATGAAAAGGGGCTGTTTATGGTACCAGCGGAGTTGTAAATTGTCTCCAATCCGCGGGGGCTCGGCCTTTATTTCCATTCGCATACCGAGATCTACCTAAACAAAAACGGTACAACTACCAGATAAATTTATTTGTATATCAAACAGTTACTTCATATTGGCGAAAATTTTATTCATTACACTGTGAAGTAGATATAAAGTGTAGTTGTAGTTGTTGTTTTATTCTAACCGTAGTTATATTTGTCGAGCTCGCGCAGCGAGCGAGACCTTGTATTATTGACACTGAATCACTTGCTACTTGCAAGAAGTCTATATTAGAGTCCTTTTTTTTTCACTATACAACGTCCAAATATAATCTAATTCTTTTTGAATTATAAAGCACTTATGAACTCGAGCTCGCGCAGCGTGCGAGACCTTCTATTTTTGACACTAAATCACTTGCTACTTGCAAGAAGTCTATATTAGAGTCCTTTTTTTTTCACTATACAACGTCCAAATATAATCTAATTCCTTTTGAATTATAAAACACTTATGAACTCGAGCTCGCGCAGCGTGCGAGACCTTCTATTATTGACACTAAATCACTTGCTACTTGCAAGAAGTCTATATTAGAGTCCTTTTTTTTCACTATACAACTTCCAAATATAATCTAATTCTTTTTGAATTATAAAGCACTTATGAACTCGAGCTCGCGCAGCATGGGAGACCAGATCTCATGAAGCGGATAATGGGCGGGTTTCGGTTGGTTTACTAAATGCTCTGGACTTGTGAAAGCGCCCATATCTCAGTCGGTTAATTGAAGATCGTTTTTCTAAGCGGACGTGGCGGTGTCAAACATCGGTCGCGGAGCCGCTTATTTTATTTCTCGAGTAGCGCCGGTTTTAGAAATCGTCTAGAAGTGGCGGTGTATCGTCATTGCACTGGATTTTGTTCGGGAAATTTAGGAAATTACGGGAAATTTGTTGAATCAGAAGTGGGATTGACGCGTTTTTCAGAAGTGGGATTGACGCGTTTTTCAGAAGTGGGATTGGAGGTGTTGTTATAGAGTACTGTCAGGATTAGTGATGAATGCGTGCAGTTTTCTCCCGTTCGGATTTTAACACGCACAATTATACGATCTATTTGGCGCGACCTAAAATAAAATCCGCTCTCTCTCTCCGTCTCGTTTCCTCGGACTTTCCGCGAGACGATGAAGACGAAGATAAATGAACATCTGTTGTGAACACGGCGCTGTTCCACATGCATGTAATTAGTCGGGGTTCGGTTTCGAGTTTTTTTTTTCTACTATTTATTTTCGAGTTCTCTACCGGGCGTTTTGTCACTTTTTGTCGAAAATTTCGATGCTCGTTTGATGTTCGGAATCGTTTGTCAAATTGCGCCTACCAACTTCCACTCTAATTAAACGAATTATGAGCTATTTTTACACTGTAACTAGCCGTTTATTGTTGGAAATATGTGCATTGTATAAGGTATCTATACTTTTCAAGGCTCGTGTGGTATGCAAAATTAATATGACTTGTACTTCATTAAATGTAGCTTGGCACTTGAGGATTGCATTAGATGCGCAATGGGGGAAGAAAAGTAGAAATTTTGAAACAAGAATTAACAAATGGTTTGGATATTTGGAAAACAATCATTACATTAACAGGATGCTTTTTACCCTCTTCTTTAAATTTTCATACAGCTACTTAATTACTACCAACTGCCAAGCTACAATTGTTGAGGTAGGTATATATTAATACTTAGTATCTTCTTCATCATCAGCAGTAGATGTGGTCCAAATATACATATTTTTTTGGGGTTGTAGTAGGTATGTTTGTTCGGTTGCCGGACGGAATATAATATACAGATCGTATACGTTATTAGTCTATAATTATGAGAGCGGGTCTCGCAAGCTACGTCTGGCATTCATGCATTTTGATGCGTTTTAGGCAAAAAAAAAATATACGATGGGAAAAAATACGCCGTCTCGTCCGATGATGTTGTCATGAGATGACAGTCGGTTAGGCCAATTTAGCCCTATATGGGTGTTCGAATACGGCCGGGCATAATGAAGATACCAAAGCCGGGAGTTTCTTATATGCACCATCGATTTATTGACTCGGGTTTTTATCGAAGCGCCCCCGCTTCGATACAGAACGTCTCGCTAATTGACTTTCCGTGCTCGCTTCGTCTCGACAGGAAATCACGTCTTCATTCGCCTGTTAATAACGTTTAGAGTCGCGCGCGACATGTCGCTAGCGACTCGTAGAAACGCTGCTTTATTGCCGTGGAACATGTTGCTAGTAACTTTTTGCACGATGGGTAAAGGTACAAAAAAAAATTGGTTTTTGTTTTAAATAATGAACGAATCACTTTATTGCATAGCCAGTACACGTGTTTTGTCGAATTATGATGGAAACTAATCACGAGGATATGTCATCGAAAAAGTTATACATGTACGCGTCGCACCGGCGTTTGAAATTTTTTCCTTTTACAATGAAGTTACTAAAATTTTCTCGGCCCGCGAGAGGGGTTGCTAATCGCAAATAATCCACCCCCTCTCGCGCGATTTATTCGATTATATAATAATTATTATTACACGTTATCAATAACAAATAATTTTACTTACAATTTCTATACGCTAGTTAAGGTACATACATACATACAAGGATTTTATACTGCTGCGCAAGCGCAGTCTATATTTACACGTTTCCTTCGATAATATTTCACTGAAAGGAAAAAATAAGAGAAAAAAAAATATATAATATAATATAATAAAACGAACAAAACAAAACGGAACTACTGTTCATGGTGCCGTATTTCGTATGTACTAAGGAACATATCACAATTAATTGTACAGCACGATAAGAACAATCGATCGTTTTGCCTCTAATTACGAAACAATCCGAATTAGATCGAAACGATACCGCTCTCTTATTAAGCCGCGTTTACACCGCGCGAATACACGTAACGAATCGCGCGGTCCAAACCGACCTTTGTTTATATACAGCTTGTCCAAAAAGTAAACAATTTCTGTCAAATTTTAGGATCGAATGTAAAATAAATTTACTTATACTCTATTTCCAAAATAGTAGGCACTGAATTCTCGGAAATATTGTCGCTTTTTTTATTTATTACATAATCCTTGCTCTTCTAATTATTAGTCTCCTGCTGATTTTCCCGTCAAACACACTTGTAGCCTACGATATTTTCCGTACGCCACTGGAAGAGACCCATTATCGCAATCATTTCTGAGAATTTAGTGCCTACTATTTTGGAATTAGTGTATTTTTTTTATCCTACTTTCAACCCTAAATTTTCACTCAAATTTTACCGTTTCCATACTTTTTAAACACCCTGTATAATAAATACATATATTATTATTAAAAAAAAAAAAAAACCCCGATATTAAATCGTCCAGTTATTGTCCCGTAACATGTAACACGAACGCGCACTCGCCGAGGTAGATCTACCGCCACAATCCCGCCATAACCAAAGCCGGTCAGGCCTTGTTCAAAGCGACCGGCTTGACGGGCGTCTCCGATCCGGAGGACAACGACGACGTCGACGACGGCGACGTCCGCGACGCCGCCGTCAATCCCAAAGGCGCGGACGCCGCGCCCGAGGCGCCCGCTTTGGTAAAGCCGTGCGAAGACTGCGCCATCAGGTTCGCCCCCAACGTTCTTTGGTATGTCTCCAGCAGCGAGGCGTCCGGCGAAACGCCGCCGCCGCCCGTTAAATTCTGCGCCACCGCCGGATTGTACAAGCTGCGGTAGAAGTCGTGCGGTCGCGCGTACGGCGCCGTGTGCAACCCGGGCGGCGGCAGCCGCGTCCCCATCGGCGCCACCAGCCGCCCGAAGGTCGAGGCGCCGCCGCCGCCGCCGCCGGTCGGCGCGCCGTCGTTCTCTTTGCTCGCCATGTCGGCCAGCGACCAGATGCGCGGCTTCGAGGTGACGGTGGCCGAGAGTTGGGGCGGCGAGCCGGAGGCGCGCGACGGCAGGAAGGCCGGGTGCGGCGGGCGCTCGTAGATTTCGGGGCTGTCGGGGCCGCTGTCGTTGCGCGATTCGCTCCATTCGCTGGCCGTGTCGGCGGCGAGCCGCGAATGGGGCGGCCGGTCGCCGTCCTCGCTCGACGCCGTGCCCGAATCTTTGGAATCTGCAACGAAATGGATCGCGTTATGTGGTGGATTTTTAAAGCGAATTTATAAACGCGTTGTGTAAACGCACCGTTAGCAACTGTACTTTGTACCTTATCGAATGTAGCTTGGCATTTGGACGCTTTATGCAAGATATATAGTGAGGAACAAAAGTCCGTCGCCCCTCCTTTAACTTTTGAATGGTAAGAGCTTTTGTCGCGAAATTTGGGGTGTTTATATTGGAGTAAAAATACTATTTTTTGACGTAAAAATGACAATAGAAACTTTCAAAATGACAGTTAGGCGCCATTTTGAATCTTTTTTTCTTATGGAAAGGGGGTCAAGTGACACCTCGTTTTAAAGATAATTTCATTTTTAAGTCAACCCCCAAATTTGAAAACATTTTAATAACGCTTATTCACGTGAAGACCAATTTAGTTTTAACCCCCGAGCATATTGATACATTTAAAAATTAATTCTGAACGTACTATAAATTGTGTCAATTAATTGTTGCTATGGTTTCTTGGCTCTGACATTTATTTGTCAAATTTAAAGTTGATGAAATTGACAATTGCTCGTCCTTTAAACGACAAAACTGTCAATTTCATCAACTTTAAATTTGACAAATAAATGTCAGAGCCAAGAAACCATAGCAACAATTAATTGACACATTTTATAGTACGTTCAGAATTAAAGGTTAACCCGTTTCAGGTTAAAACTAAATTGGTCTTCACGTAAATACGCGTTATTAAAATGTTTTCAAATTTGAGGGTTGACTTAAGAATGAAATTACCTTTAAAACGAGGTGACTTGACCCCCCTTTCCATAGGAAAAAAAGATTCAAAATGGCGCCCAACTGTCATTTTGAAAGTTTCAATTGTCATTTTTACGTCAAAAAATAGTATTTTTACTACAATATAAACATCCGGAATTGCGCAACAAAAACTCTTACCATTCAAACGTTAAAGGGGGGGGCGACGGACTTTTGTTCCTCACTGTATTTTTTAGTACACATAATGCAAACACTAAATATTCCATTGTACATTTGTAATTAATAGATCAAATGGAAGTTTAATGTAATTAAACATTTATTTTGTGGGGTTATTGTATGAGTTAAGTAAACGTCGATTGGCGAGTTAAAATACTACCTAAACAAACGATTTCACTTCTTACGAAAAAGAAATAGAGATAAATAAAGCTCTTCTTTCACTTTAATTCTTCGCTTCATTTATTCGGTGTATGCACAGCTGGTTGAAAATGTAAATAAAGTGTTTTTTTAGAACGGTCAATTAAAGCAGTCTCGTGTTTTGGTCGTTATTAATTTCTGTCGTTCGGTAAAGTAGGTACTTATTACACCTCATCAAATGTAGCTTGACAATTAAAAATTAAACAATAAATTAGATTTCAACTTTTAACCAACCCTCTCTAGTCATTATAGAGTAACTAGAGACTTAATTTACACTAAAGTGACCCTTATAGAGCCACGTTTATTGGGGCACTAAATACGGGCCAATGAATTTTGCTACGGCTCATCAAACTTCTTAATTATTTCAACTGCCAAGCTACATTTGCCGAGGTATATTTTATTCAAATCGGTGCGTATAATGAAATTTTTGATCGGTCTACTTGCGTTGAAAGCCGCACACGCGGAATAGGGGCCATAAAAATTTTTTTATTACAACATCTTAATTCGACTTCTTATAACAATAATTTCGGCTTTTAAAGGAAAATGTGGGGCAGCGTTTTTACGACTTCTATAACATAAACCAACACGGAACTTTTCGACTTCTCATACTTTTTTTCTCTTCGCCTTTCTCCTCCTTCATTTTCCACTCCCTGCTACTCAGGTGTGAAAAATCGTTTACACCTTGCCTTTTTTTCTTTCGAATCTACATATAACGAATAATCGTAAAAATATTTTATTCGCGTCGTAAAAATCCCGCCGAAAAGTCAGCGAACCGGCTCTTTAGTATTATTTTTTTACATCTAATTCGAGAACAAACTCGCTCGAAAATTTAACGGGCGCTTTCGCGAGCGTAAAAAAATACATAAAAATCTATTAATCGCCTATTTTGTTAGGGGCCTTTTACGGAGAAATGTTTAACAGCAAAACGGTTCGCCTACATATTTAATATGCGCATCGAAGAAGAATAAAAAAAAAATACCGGAAGCCCGAATTGAAACTATAAACGGACTTTATGTGTTGTTTATGTGCACAACAATCGTTAACACCGCGCTATCGTAAATCGTCGCTAACGGGACTTTGAAATTTACATGTCATTTTTGATTCGACCCAACTGTTATGGTCCAAATGATGTTTTTTTATTTAGCTAATATTAAAGTCGTTTGGTACATGATTTTAGTAAATGTTGACAGTTTAAATGAGGTTTTTGATGTGGTTTGTAGCAGTAGATTCAGAGTAAATTTTGACATTGATGTTAAAATTACTTTATAATATGTAATTAATTACAATTGCAATTACTTTTGGCAAATTGTAATTAATTACAATTACCATTAAAGTTACAATTACAATTACAATCACAATTACTTTGCTTTGGTGTCAGTTATAAATAATTATTTAGGGATTTGCAATCGGAATTAAACTTTCCACGTATTGAAAATATTAAATAAGTACTTTTGTGTCCAATGTAATTGAAATGTAATTGTAAAATGTAATTGTAATTGTAACGAAAGGAGTAATTGAATTACAAATGAATTACAATTGAGGAGCTTGTAATTAATTACCGCCTCAATTACAATAAAAGTAATTCAATTACTTTTTCAATTACTTGTTATTAATTACTTAACAACACTGGATTTTGAGTATATTTGGAGTAGATTTGTAGTAAGATTTGGAGTAGAAATTCAGAATAGCTTCAGAGGAGATTCAGAGTTGATTCAGACTGTCTTCAGAATAGAATCGGAGTTAGTTTCAGAAGAGTTTCAGAGAAGAAAAAGTGTAAATTAAAAGTAGAGTAAGAGTAAATTAAGTGTAAATTAAGAGTAAACTCAAAATTGATTAAGAGTAGATTCAGAGTGGATATCAGTCAATGAAATTTTTGCGTATTTCCGATGCACACCTTCAATGTATGCCTTTTATGCCATTTGGTTCATAACTTCACCAACTATTAACTCGACCAAACAATGCTTCTTTATAAGCGATTTGGTTCCAACGAATATCCTCACCTATAATATCCTTTCCATCGGTGCTTTTGTGATCGTGATCATCGTCATCGTTGTTGTTATCGTCGTCTTCGACGCGATTCCTCGGCTCCCACGTCATTTTGTTCTCTTTCTTGAGACGCCGCCGGGCGTTCGCGAACCACGTGGACACCTGGGTGAGGGTCATCTTGGTGATGATGGCCAGCATGATTTTCTCGCCTTTGGTCGGGTAGGGGTTCTTCTTGTGCTCGTTCAGCCACGCTTTGAGGGTGCTCGTGGTTTCCCTGGTGGCGTTTTTCCGCCGGGCGCCGTTCAAATCCATGCCGTATCTGGAATAAAATAGATTTTTTTTAGTATGGTGAAAGATTTTTGGAAAATTTAGTGAAATTTGTTCGTTGTATTTAGAAGGTTTTTTTGGGGAATTTTTGGTTGGTTTGGTATTGTACCCGTTTGGAGAATATTTTTTTAATTGATGTGACTGGTGTTACATGTAAATTTTGAGGTCAACATTACCGACATTAATTGTGAATAGGTAGGTAACGTTAATTTCGAGTTTGGGCCGATTTCCATACAATGCGACCGGCTAATAGACAAAGGCCGTATTTCGAAAAAAAAAAAAATCCTTAAAATTAGACTACTTACAATGTAAGGTATTTGCATTGGTGTAACACTTAACGCAAGTACATACAAAACTAGAGAGAAATGTGTTTACTGCTTTTTATAGTGTATACACCGTTGATAATAACCAAAAATAAATTTAAATATTATTTTAAAACAGAAAATAAAAGAACTCTAAAAAATTGTCCACCGCTTTCTGCTAAACAATAGCCAAACCTGTCATACAGATGTCATCTCATATTACTGAGCTGAGGTATAATTCTAGCAGAAAATTGAATTATTTTTTCCCTTATTTCAACAAGATTTGTTGCTCTTTCAAAACTGTACCTACAGATACACTTATTTTTTTGAAATATCCCAAAAAAAAATAGTTTCTAAATAATTTTGTACCTCATACTTATCACAAATAACTTTGTACCTCTACAAATCGCGTCGGGCGGTCCAGTAGAACAATTAAATTTATTAGAATTGATCGCGACGTTCTATTGAAAGGTATACTGGTATACTGGATTTCAGCCGGATAAGAATTTAACATTGATTTCCCTATTATGCGATATTAAATTTCCAACAGTGTATAGATCTGTTACATTATTACCACAAAAGAATAATTAATAAAGCATTTCAAACTTCGTATAGGAAATCCCGATAAAGATCGCTCCTCCAGCCGCATAAAGAAAACGAAAAAGCAACAACCTGCCTTTCACCCGTCAAGATCTCCATAATTTTTTCCATACTAGTTTTTTTTTTTTTCGGGGAAACAGATGCTGCTACTCGCGTTATATCGAAAACGTCGAGCCGCATCGGCTCGATTATTTTATTTATATATAGATATATAGACGTGTAGATGTATAGATATATTTTCGCCGCCCCCGCGGGTGCAGAGCGGCGGGCGAGGGCGCGACAACGGAGGGAGAGAAGGCTTATAGATGGGAAATTAATAAAGCTGTCAGTTATCGGCGGAGCGGCGCATCCGTGCAGAACGTTTTCAATCTGATGAATCGTCCCCGGGTTTATATTATAGCCCGGGAAAATTATCAATTAACAACAACCCCCCTTAGGAAAAAAAAATTATTAATTTCACTAGAGATATTTTTTGTTAGAATTATAGTCGATTTTGGTGCTGACTAATAATCGAAATAAATTCAATTAATATTTGTTATTAAATATTGAAAAATACAGCGATAAATGATATGTGTGTGTGTGTGTATTAAATGAGGCGAGCTGGGAGGCCCGAGAGCATCAACTGCTAATTAACGATAATTGCCCAGTGTTTCTTGTTTCCAGTAATTAACGTCGAATGCAAATAAAAATATTTTGTTTCGTATGGTGTAGTAATTGAAATAATAATGCCACCGAACGAGATAAGATAAATAACAAGCTAATTCTATAATTAATTACAACTATTTCTCGGAATTTCGCCACACACATACGAAAAACTATTACGTTCGACATTATCGTGTGAATTATGCGTTTCTCCATTAACAGTGGATTCGTTTGAATTCGCGGAAATCGCTTGCGAAAGATATTTATTTTAAATTTTTATATAAAAATTTAACGAATCTTTTTTCTTAGTATAACCAACAAATACTTCAACTAACACTAAAAAAAATCTCACCATTAAAAATACCTCAAATTTCATCCGAATATACTTTCTACATATCAATCGACATTAGTTTTGATGCACTTTTGACTGCACCAAAATCCGCTGCAAACGCGCCGGGGGGGGGAGGGGGTGGGGTGGTCTCGGGGGTGGTTTCCGACGACGACGACGTCGAACGAAAAAAAAAAAAAAAAAAAAAAGTATCCAGGTTTGTCACCCCCTGATCGCATTATCAGCTTGTTTCCATAGCAATTGCTAATCGTAGTGCGCCATGGCGCTGATCGCTCCGGCGTCGCGTACCGCCAATAAGCGTCGCGGCGCGCGCGCTTCCCTTATCGACGTCGTTTCTAAAAGTTTGTTTTTCCGAACCGGCGTTTCTCTCTTGCGTGTACGTTACATTGTATTGGGTCTTTCGCGGTCCTTCGGGACTAACTACCGGAATTTATTACAATTGATATTTTCTACGAATTATTACTTAGTAACGTTTAATTAGAGCGCTAAGAATATTTTAGATGAGCTAATGAGTCGATTAGATAGTAGATTTGAATGAATTTACAGTAAAAATTAACGAAACTGTTTTCTTAGTGTAATCATTAAATCGTGTTAAATTACACTGGAAAAAAAGATTTGTATATAGAAACCTACATGTTGAATATTTTGCAAATAATATTGTACTCTAATCGGGCTCGAATTTACATTGCTGTAAATCTATATGTGTTAGATATAGAGTCCGGTCCTGTTCGGGTTCTTGTTTGGTTCGCTTTCTAAAGTGGGAATCAATCAGGTATGCAATAACACTAAATCTGCATGCCGAGATGCCGATGCCACTTGCGGTCATGCTTCGATGCTAATAGACGTTCTACATGCACCTCGACTGCCTACCTTCTGCATTCGCTTCTCGCCGGCATCGGCAGGTTTTTAATGTCTCTCCGAACTATTTCCGAAGGAAATCGACCGCTTCAAGTGCCAATGATTTATTCATCCCATTCATCCCGGTGCGAGTGCCAACGCGACCGTTTTTTCGCAGTGTAATTTAACGATTACACTCGGAAAAAAAATCATCAACTGAATGTACAAAATTCTAAAGCGCAGTTAATTAGAAATGCACGATGCGTACGACTAAAAAAAAATAAAATAAAAGAAATCCTAACACCATCGATAAAACGTGTAATTAGCGATCCTTCCGTCCACGTGCAAGGGCCATCGGCATGATCGGTCATACACGGTATATGACATATACATATACACATCGGACGTACGTGTTCGGACGTTTCGATTAATCAGGTCCCCCATTTGACCGACATCAGGAAATGACAAATGCCGCTTCCGAATTGACAGATCGCATAATAATCATTCGAACGGCCGCGTACGCGATTCTCGAAACGTCGCCTCTTCGTGAATTCGTGTGCTTACAATTAGGATTTCGTATACGGGGAGGATTTATTTCGCATGCGAGACGCGGTCTATGAGTAAACGACCTGGCCGTTTTGCTATTATATACTCGCGTGTCATATTAATGTGATTAATCGAAGCCCTCGTATCTGTATATTCATTGTTCTATCGATGGGCCTATCGTGGACCTATCAAAGATCATGGATCTATTAAAAAACTTATCGTGGATCTATCGGTGGAACTATTATTACAGACCTATCACGGATGTCTTATGTTTTCGTCTTATTATGGACCTATTAAGGACCTAAAATGGACCTAAGTGGACCTAAAGTGGACCTATAATGGACCTATAGTGGACCTATAGTGGACTTATTATTATAGTCCTATAGGTAATAGACCTATCATGGACCTATAATGGAACTATCAGTTTTTAGACTTATTATGGATTCATAATGGACCTATAATGGACCTATAGTGGACCTATAGTGGACTTATTATTATAGTCCTATAGGTAATAGACCTATCATGGACCTATAATGGAACTATCAGTTTTTAGACTTATTATGGATTCATAATGGACCTATAATGGACCTATAGTGGACCTATTATTATAGACCTATCATGGACCTATAATGGAACTATCAGTTTTTAGACTTATTATGGATTCATAATGGACCTATCGTGGACCTATTGTGGATCTTTTATGTATCTAAACTGCTCCACAAAAGTTAAGGAAGTTTGCAAATTTTGCGATTTTAAAAGTTACAAACTTTTTGATCACCAAATTTTCAAATATGCGAAGTTAAATGTTTTCTCTTATATCTGAGTGGATTTTTTGTCCCTACCTCTACAACTCATACTAAATTGAGCGATCAAAAAAACCTGCAACTTTTAAATTAATCTCAATATTTGTGAACATCCTTAACTTTTGTGGAGCAGTATATCATTTTATAGACTTAATGTGGACCTATGGTGAACTTATTATGTTTGTTTATTCTCTGTAATGTATTTAATAAGTTGAAATGGTGTAAAAACCCGTCGTAGCCGACCCTGATGTCGGTGCCCAACTGTCGCTTTGGTGCAAAAGGATTTGCATGCGTTCGCCATGGCGGACTGTTTACTGATTTAGAAAAAATCAGGTTTTACAGAATGCTCGGGTTGCCATCAAAGGTCGATTTATCATTTTCAGCGGACGGGCGAGCGTGCAAATTAAAAAAAATAAAACTGCGGCGACCGTTCGATAAAAAGGGATAAATTCGTCGTTAGTTGCAAGGAAAAAAGCGAGCGTTTGGCAACGTTTCCTTATCGCTTATTTGCAGTATTTGTTCAAAATTTCGATTAATTATTGAACCCGCCTCGTATCAAACATATACTGTTTTTTATAAAACACCAACACTCCTCGTCAACACCACAAGCAATATACAAGGACTCGTCTATAATTATCAAACATTTTTTTGTTACATTGAACAGTTCTCGTTCAGTTTCGAGGCGTCGGGAGAAATGTTTTTCAGCACGCACCCGGTCTTAGGCAGTTTCTTTTTTCGTACGAACACACATTTTATAAGGTCTCGTTTAATGGAATTAGAACACGTTATGTGTAACGTATATAACGCGCTATTCGAAACATTCGAGAACGAACGAATTACAAACGAGGAACGAAAAGGAGAGCTGCCAACGCTTTCCGAACTCGCAGCGATAACTGCAGATGGCCTTTTCTTGACCTTTTCCGCAGCCACGATAATAATTTTTTAGCATTTCGCCCGTACAATATTAGCGGACATTTTTAATTGATAATGTTTCTACCTTTGTTTCTTTATTAAATCTTCTTATGGACCCACTATGGACCCATCATGAAACCTTATTTGAAGTATTTATCGAATAGAGAGTATATAATAAACTATTTCTGTAGTATTCCAGTTGACACTTAATGACTGAGCATTAAACGCTAAAATATGGTGGAGTAGATGTTCTTTCATCTTGTACCTATCAATCAACGAATTTGTTTGGACATAGTCCAAATGTTGCTCGACTTTTTAACGATACACTACATTATTCTCGTTTAGTTGGTACACCTGTAAGTTCGGGTTGACGAAGATCAATTAGGTATGTCGCTTAATTGCTAATTAAAATTAGCCCGCACGGGTTATTTCGGGCGTTGAAATCATAACGTTTTGTTAAAACGAGCCATGTTTTATTAATAGATCTGATCTTGCGAAATAAACCTTTCTTCTGGTCTTATTCAATGGGTCCATGATAGGTTCTTAAAATGATAATTTCATGATAGGTCCAAGATAGGTCTACTATAGTTCCATAGTTAATAGGTGTTGAATAGGTTGAATAGGTGTATAATGATTCAAAAATAAAATAGGTTGATCCAAAAATAGATCCAAAAAATGATAGATCCATGATATAGGTTCATGATGGGTCTATGATAGGTCTATGATAGGTCCATGATAGGTCTATGATAGGTCCATGATAGGTCCATGCTAGGTCTACTATAGTTCCATAGTTGGTCCTTAAGAGAGGTCTATAATAGGTCCATGGTAGATTCTGAATAAGTGTATAATGATTCAAAAATAAAATAGGTAGATCCAAAGATAAATCCAAAAAATGATAGATCCATGATATAGGTTCGTGTTGGGTCCATGATAGGTCCAAAGTAGGTTCTGAATAGGTCCATAATAATTAAAAAAATGATAGATTAATTATGATAGGTCCATGATGGGTCCATGATAGGTCCATGATAGGTCCATGATAAGTCCTTAATAGGTCCATAATAAACCATTTGATATAAACAAACGAAAAACTAACACTACCTACCTATACATTAATATATTTTAATAGCGCTATTAATTTCATCGGGAGTACATAAAAGTTGAAATTATAAGGTATAAGTGATAATTTATGATGCGTAATTACGATTTACGTGCGAAATTATTGCACTTAATTTATAGATATTAATATAACGATCGTTGTATATTATTCTTTACATAACGTTTATTTTATATACGCGGGGTAGGTATTTATACCCCAAATAAACGATTTTTTAATCGAGTAAATCGTTTATATGTGGACATTCTAAAAGAGCACTTGCGGTAAATAAATTAAATAAAACTCACCCGTTAAATGGATATCCAGCGAAGGCGGCATCGTAGGGGTGATAAACAGAGGGATAAGGCCAACCGGCCGCCCCCGCGGCCAAATTTTCTTTCAACTCCAATCCCGCCGCCTGCAAAAACACAAACGGAAAATTCAACGAACGATGCCTCGCAGAAATTCGCGATGAAAAACCCCGTCTAGTTAGCATGTCATAACACGATTTAAAGACACGGGGCTGGTGTCTGTGGAAGTCTGGCGAAGTACACGAGTAGTTCGAGACCGCTAAAACACGAACTTAACTAATGTATATAACTTCATGCGGGATTAGTATCTCCCGAGTGCACGTGTTTACACCGGGTTTAGCCTCGCTCGCGTTCCCGGTTTAATATATATCGAGCAAATTCGCTCCGGGAAGATCCGATTTTTTTCTCTCTATTTTTTTTTTATTTTCGAATTGTTGTACGTGAAATTCGATTAAATACACGATGTCGCATGTACGTTTGTGCGAAACGAAACCCGATCCGGTTTTTGTCGAAACAATCCGAAATCCGAATCTCCGGCTCCGGTTTTTATTACGCTACACATAAAATATTTATCTACGGCTTACGTTCGGCGTATAATAAACCGAAATTGAATTAATTAAAACGTGCGAGAGCCGATCGGATATGTATATTCCAACGAAATGCTAATGAGCTTCCATTGGATGCGAATTAAATTTTAACCAACAACGCCCCGGCCCGATCGCTATATCGATTCGATTCCGATTGTGTTCAATTAGCACCGGCGATTTTCCGCCAGCCAAAGAAACGCTGTATTCATCAAATAGTACAAAGTCAATTATCAATTGAACCGACCTCGTATATACGATTCAAATAATATACCGGGACTCCTCCATAATTATCACTTAAATCTCAACGTTATCCCAACCACAACAAATGTGCTCTCGATTAGTAATAATTTTTCAACTACATATGAGGATTGTTCAATAAGTTTTTTCCCCCTTTGTTTCGAGTTGATTCATCAAATCAAATGCCCCGTCGGATTACTCCTAACGTCAATTTTATATCATTTGAACCAACCTCATATAAACAATATACCAGGATTCCTCTATAATTATTACATCCCTCTAATCTCAACATTACTTCACCCTCTTATACAATTACAACTATATACGAGGATTGCTCGATAATTATTCGCCGGACGTTTCGAGTTGATTGCCGAAAAAAAAATAATCACTTATTAACGATGAATCGTCGGTAACGAGCGAATAATAATCTCGGTATGTATTAGCAGAGTATTGAAGCTCGCATGACGGTTATAAAATTTAATAATACGACCGGTACACCGCGTGAATGTGAATGCGAACCATTGTGGAACGGATAGGAACCTCCGGGTTAGACTCGAAACCGATGCACCAGGTCAGCAATGGGTTTATTCATGGTTCTTGCGTTTTCTTTACGAATACGCCAATCCTATTAATACACTTTTTAAGTATTGTTTAATTAAGAAACGCCGTAATTTTTCGTGCATAAGTAACGTGCGAAGTACCAGGAATAGAATAAAGTTGATGTATGGCAATTGAATGTTGAAATCCGACTCTGGAGCATCGAAATGTAAAAATTATACGAATCGAAAATACGTTTTATTATAAATCAAGGATCGGGACGTGTCTACATAACTTCATTACAGATTATTATTATTAATCACGGGCGTTTTGTGGTCATGACAATGGTCTGACAGGTCCATCGTCTGCCCGATGATATAAGCTTTATTTATAAATATAAACATCTACATTTTTATTGTACGAGTTTGGTGAACGAGAACGGCATAATCATGACATATTTTTCTTGCCGGTCACCGGCGGGATGATTTATAAGGCGTTTATGCGCTATTATGAATGCACCAGGAATCGAATCTGGAAGTCGAATGAATTGTTAATTGCCCAGAAATTACATTCGTTTCGTAACTAACGATCTGTTGGAATTAACTTGGAAATGTGTTCACGAAGAAAAATGTATTTTTGGATGGGTCTTAGAGGTGTTCTAAGATGGATTTTTACTGATTTAATGTGTTTCTGGATGGGTTCATACTGATTTAGAAAGTTCTAGTAAATCCTTAGACTGGTTTGATGTGTTGTATGATGGATCTTTACTGATTTAATATGTTTCTGGATGGGTTCATATTGATTTAGGAAGTTCTAGTAAATCCTTAAGACTGGTTTGATATGTTGTATGATGGATCTTTATACGGATTTAATGTGTTTCTGGATGGGTTTATATTGATTTAAAAAGTTCTAGTAAATCCTTGATACTGGTTTGATATGTTGTATGATGGATCTTTATACGGATTTAATGTGTTTCTGGATGGGTTTATATTGATTTAGAAAGTTCTAGTAAATCCTTAAGACTGGTTTGATGTGTTGTATGATGAATATTTACTGATTTAATATGTTTCTGAATGGGTTCATATTGATTTAGAAAGTTCTAGTAAATCCTTAAGACTGGTTTGATGTGTTGTATGATGGATATTTACTGATTTAATATGTTTCTGGATGGGTTCATATTGATTTAGAAAGTTCTAGTAAATCCTTAGACTGGTTTGATGTGTTGTATGATGGATATTTACTGATTTAATATGTTTCTGGATGGGTTCATATTGATTTAGAAAGTTCTAGTAAATCCTTAGACTGGTTTGATGTGTTGTATGATGGATCTTTATACGGATTTAATGTGTTTCTGGATGGGTTTATATTGATTTAGAAAGTTCTAGTAAATCCTTAGACTGGTTTGATGTGTTGTATGATGGATCTTTACTGATTTAATATGTTTCTGGATGGGTTCATATTGATTTAGAAAGTTCTAGTAAATCCTTAAGACTGGTTTGATGTGTTGTATGATGGATCTTTACTGATTTAATGGGTTTCTGGATGGCTTCATATTGATTTAGTAGGATCTTGGATAGATCCTAATTGTTTTAGTACATCCTTGAATACATCTTTATTGATGTAGTATGTTCTAGGATAGATACCTACAAAATTAGTAAGTTTTAGAAGTGTCTTTAATGATTTAGTGTGTTCTTTGTATATGGATCTTGTCTTTACTGTTGTTTCCTTAAATGTTCTTGTTGAAACATGTAAGAAAATCCACCTTGTTAGTCAAGTCTAACAAGTCTTTTGCTTCTCTATAAAGTACCAGTATATAAATATAAATCATTATAAGGAATTAAAGTGCAGAAAGTGCTCTTAAATATTTAGCCAGTTATTTAGTATATGGAGCTAATGCGATGAGTGAATGTCAAACATAAATGTTTTTTTTAAGGTTATCGGCATATAACAAGTTGTTATGCAGTGACAATACACGTGCAAACCTGTATACGTGAATGTATTATGTGTCAACTGTTAGCGAGCGATATCTGTTTAGCGCATTATCTAAAGGAAATGCCGTTTATATTTTTCTACTCTAATTGGCTGAAAGCTCGCCGTATACTTAATGCATTCGAGATTGTTATTTTAATTAGGCGAAGGTAATTATAATGTTACAAATACAACAATATTTGTTGAATGACAGTCGACTCGGTTAATCATTAATATATACTTTTTTTTTTTTTAATTCGAACGAATTAGTATGTTTATGGGCTAAAAAATTTATCCTATTATTTTAGTAGGTAGGCGAAATTACAATATTCAAATCGTCGCATTGTAATACGAAGTCGATAAAAAAAAAATCGATACAATTTGTGCTACAATTCGAATTGTTACGAAAACGATTTATTGATTTATCGATCCAGATATCCCTCGACATTCGACCTCTAGGCGCTATTTAATCGTTACAACAAAACACTAATTTGAATACAAGCGAATGATGATATTCTTTTGTATGCACTTTTACTGGAAACGTGCTAATTACACTCAACATACAGTGCTCGCCCGCAAACAACATATACAGTGACTTTTCAAAGTCTCCGACTTTAGCGTAGGTACTTACAGTAGGCGTGTAGAAAGGCGCTTGGTCGGCGCCGAGCGCCGGAAAGTACGCCGCCATGCCGTCGGGATAGGGGGCGCTGTACATGGAGAGGGCCGGCAGGCCGGGCACGCCGGCGCCGGCCAATCGTTGATAGCCCAACAGTTCGTACTGGCAGGAGCAGACGCTCTGGCCCGTTATCGGATCGGTGAAGATGGGCCTGCCGGTGTCGCAGCATCTTTGAGAGGGCGTCGGCGGCGTACTCGGCGCCGGCGCCGATGACGTCACGGCCATTGTCGTTGGTGGTGAGGACGATTGACTAGGACCCGATGATATCGCAGTCTGCAACAAATATTTATAGCGTTAGTACCAAGCAATTTTACTCATTAAAAAGTGCTCTAATTACTTAAGGACTAAGTCCATTATCTACACTATACAGGTTGCTCCATTTTTGATCGCAACGTAGATAAAGACAACTTCCATTAGACACATATAAAGGAAAAAGGAAAGAGTGACATTTGTGTCATTGCAATAACTTTTCACTCTGACAACTGTCATTTTAATAATCTTTCTTTGTTCCACTCATAGAAATGACCATGTTGCAATCGGAAATGGAGCAAGGTGTATACATCGTAATATAAATCTTATTTAATCATTATTATTTTAAAAAATCACCTTTCAACAAAGCAATGATTAAGTAATACACAAGTAGTACAGCAATTAACAAGTAATTTGTATGTATATCAAATTATTTTTAATTAAATTTCCTTAGAATTGATTAGAGGATGCTGCCTGTTGTGCTAACAAAGTTTTGGGTAAATTTATTATAATTAAGTACGTTTTGTACATACAACGAACACGCTAAGATTTATTAGCTTATTGTAAATAGAAATTTTCCTTTATTATCGCTCATAAAAGCATTTTAATTGCAAAAAATTCGACGATTTGCATATTAAAGACCTTAAATAAATTTAATTTAATGCAATCATTAATAATAAACACCAACTAAAAAAAATCGACTAGATATACAATCACCATTATTCACTAAAAAAAATTAATTGTATGTAATTTAACATGTAAATTGATATTATTTGTAAATTTACTTATCTAAACAATTCCTAATCTGCTTTGTGTAAACGTTACAAGAAACAATTCGTTTGCTCCGAATGCGCCTTGTGCGTATAAAGTATACGGTAACCAGGAAGTTAAATGAAAAATAATACCTATATACTTGGAAACCTTTGCGTTTATTTTAATTTCGTAGGCGGCTGTTGAAGAAACTCAACTGACTCATCAAATTCTCACTTTATGCACATGGAATGTCAACCGAGCAACGCCTACTTTATTCTTTATTTTTTCCACATATAATGTTACCCAGGAAACGTTGATAAATAATTGTCAAAAAATGCATTTTTTTAATGAAATAGTTTTCTTAGTGTAGCGATTATTTTATAACGTGCTTACACTGGTAAAAAGAATCTGTTAAATGTTGCTAATTTTAAATAAAAAAAAGTACTTTTTGACGGACGCCAATGCGAGTTATCATAAATCTAAGACGGCGCAAAGCGGACAGGAAGTGCTTCATAAACATATTCACAATGATACAGTAGGAAAAAAAAGGCCGGAGTGCTTCAGGTGAAACTCGAGACTCAACAGCTGCGCTACGTTTGTTATACCTTTTGGAAAAATTAATTGCGCCTTAAACATTATTTAATGCGTTTATAATTGATTGTATGCGTATTTCTGGACGTTTTATTGGACCAGTGGTGACATTTACGGCGGGAGGAAACGGATATAAAATATACATCCCACTTCTGATTTACCAAAAATATTACACACATATACAATATTAATAGCTTAAAAATGTTTACTATTTAACGCGGTGGAAACCAAACGGAAATCGATTATTGTCGCAATATATTGTGTATATGCATTACGTCGTTATCGTGCATTTTTCCTTTTTAATAACAATAACAATAATAGTATCTATTCGAGTTCGTGTCACGCTAAAACGCGCCAACGGTAGATTATTACAAGAACACCCATGTTGTTAAGCTGATAATACATGAATAATCGATATTATTTACGGCTCGACAATTAGTTTAAAACATCAATAAACAAAAAGAACATTGACAAGGCCGAACGATCGTTTAACATTTTATCTAATCGATTAAATATTATTTATTTTTTAAGTACAAATTATGAACGTAGGTGTTCCGACGAAACGATTGTTATCATTTTGCAAATTGGTTCCATTCGAAAAATATTAATTTGTAATGTAACTTTCGTTTTACCCTCGTATACTCAATTAATAACCCGGAAGATATTCTACCTACTGTTTACAAAATATAGGTATTATAATAATATCTTTTTAATTACGAGGAAGCTTCAATAACTAATCAACTTTAGTTATACAAGAAGGTATAATTACTATTTAACAAAATTCATTTAAACAATTTTCATTATCCTTTAATCGAACGATAAAAAAAGAAGAAATTTAACTATTTTCTGGAATAATAACTCAATTTAACTGCCGTTTAACCCTCTTATAGTAAACAATTAATTAATAACCCGGAATATATTCCACTATTTACACAATATATTAATAATTATTTTTTTGTTTCAGTTACGAGGGAGCTTCAATAAATAACCAACTTCAATTGGGTAAGAACAACAAAATTTTCGTTATCCTCTAATAGTATCCTACTATTGAAAAAAATGGAATTCAATTAAAATCTCTTTTCGGAGATAATGCGATGAAAACGCATTTAATTCATCATTATCATCATCATCGTCCGTTGGATGTTTTCAACTATTGTCGTTACATACATACATATATAGACGTGTAACGGGGTTACATGAATTGAATTATTCATGAAAATATCGCAAGAATCGGATCCGCATTCGATTATTTTTACCTAATGTAAACGAATGCACGGAGGTAGTAATAAAACGGATTGCTTCGTTGTCTTTTCTTTTTTTTAAATTGCGAGTTTTAATGATGGGAACGAAATTATCCCACTTCTGATTTACTCAAAAATTCGCGAATTTTACGAACGAAAAGGCTTACCTATAAATTAACGTGAGTGTTTTATTTTCTGTCGTTGGTTTTACAAAAGAATGTTACGATAACCATCGCAGGTGTGATGATTAACCGATTCCTTCCTTTCTGTCGAGTTTTTGCAGGCATTTCGTGGATTAACGAATGTTTTATTCATGCAAATGCGAATTGAAATGAATAAAAAAAACGATCGATATATGTTTAATTAGCGTTGAATTAATGGCGCGTTGTTTATTAAACAAATCAATCGCTAATGCCTTTAATGTATCAACGATTAAAAATTAATCTATAGTTAAGTGGTAAACAATTCGTTAAATTAAACAACGCGCTAAAAGCGACGATGAAATAGTAAATCGATCCGTTAAAAACTTAATTCGTATATACGGTAAAAGTTAATTGACCGTAGAAATAATACACATCGAATTTACCTATATACTTATACGAAGACAAAATGATTTATTAGTTACCGTTTTCCCCGTACAATGGTACCCAACCGCCCGTAACCCGAAAGCCATAACATTAAACAATTATTATAAAACCGAATTAATTTACCGTAATAGGGCCCGTAAATAAACACAAATCGAATATACTTTCCACGGAAATAAATCCGAAAACCATCTATCACATCCCCCTGTGTATTACTAGAGGGCGCAGGACCGCACTCGCCCTTCTATACACCCTCTCGTGCATTGAAATTCGCCTATATTGCCTAAAATTATGCGATTTTTGTAAGTAATATTCACGAAACATTTTTCGTAGTGTAGCGATGATTTTAAATTGTAGTTACACTAAGAAAAAGAATTAGTTATAATAATTTTGTGATGTATCATTTTACAGTAGAAAAAATAATTTCTTCGATAATCCGACGCTGTTTTGTCCTTATATCCTCTCGGAAAAAGCGGAAAGAACCCGACCAAAACGTCACCGTGCTTATATAGAGCCCCCCTTTTCTGATTTATAACGATTTAATATTTATTTTGATGGGTGAAATTCGGCGTTACTAACACTCGACGAAGAGGGTTCCGGCCATCTGCCGTACGATCCCCGTACGCGGGCCAAAACAGCCCTTAAGGATTCCGCGATTTAGGGCTCGGCCCTTTTGTGATGGGATATATATATATATTCCTCTTTTATTTATTTTTTTGTCTCGTTACATTCGAGACGCGTTTATTAATGCACTGGGTGTGAACAATTTATCGCGCGTCTTTTCGCCGGATTTAATGGCTAATGGGATTGGTTGGTTTTTAACGGTTTGTGTACCTCTAATGTAGAGGTGTAGTTGCTTATTTGTTGCGACATTCATAAAGGCTTGTTGGTGGAATGTTTAGGACATATTGTTGGTCTAATTATTACACCAATGTTTTAAATGCTTCCTTTTTGTTTGGAGTAAAAATGTAGATAAAATAATTGCTGGAGTATTTAGGATAAATAATTGGTGTAGGTATTTTTTTAGACACGATTTCGTTTAGAATTAATCAATTTATTTGGGACATCGATATGTGTATGTCTGAGGGGTATTGTAATTTATGAAAATTCGATGTTAATGTTTATCTTTGGTTCTGTTTCTGTATACATTTTTTTAATTAACTAGACCTCTAATGCTAATGAGCGAAAAAGCGATAAAAAATTGCTTGTGAACATTTTGAAATTATGTTATTACGGTTTGTTTGTTGTAAGGCCGGTCGTATTTCTGGTCTTTCGAAGCGTGACGGGGCTCGCTCACAAAATTGAATAATTACGATTAAAATTTGATGAAATTGATAATGCGTACCTACATATATATCTTTTTTTTTTATTTATTTTAATTGGATTAGTTTTAAAGTGTTGTTTTTTCGTGCGTTTGAAGAAAAACGCGGCGGTTTCGAAGGAAATTATGCGCATACGGCCGTTTATTTAATTGCTTTGATATGCTGATTTTTTTGGGGAATTTAACAGACCCGTTTTTTTTTTCACTAGATAGAGGAAAACAGTTGCTAACATTAGCATTAATTAAAAATAATTATTAATTACCATTTGTCGGGTTTTAGTTAAATATTACAAGTTATTAGAATTTTTTTTAGTACATACGTTTTTCAAAATTAGCCATTTACCTTTTTGTAAAATTACAAACGAATAGCAAAATAAACAATTTACAAAATAACCACCAATTAAATTAATAATAACTCAAACTAACTAAATTCCTTATTAAGTACGAGAGCAATTAATTGTACCACCTATTAATATATAAACAATTACGAAATTTCCAAGCAATTAAACCGCGTAAAAGTCGGCGTTGGATTTTTCGAATTTTTCCCAATTAACATCGGGGTCCTTCGCGGTGGATACGCGACCGTTTTTGCGCCATTACAACAAAAAACTTGCGGCTAAAAGCCGTAATAATTCATGATACACGTATAAATTTAGTTCAGGAAAAGCGATCCAAATAGTAGATCAAACGGCAGCAATGTCGTAGAATGATTTATTAGCGGATTATACGGCGAGGCCGTGCTTCGTACGTTTTAGTGGCTTATTTCGATTTCACGAGAACGTCGGCCGATTTTTTTTTATTTTACTCTGTATACTTGCAAAAAAATCTAGTTATGACATGCCATGATTTCCGATCAATGGAAAAAATACTTTTTTTTTCTCAGTGTAAGTTAAACAAACATTTTTCTTAGTGTTGGTATTTATTTCGAAACGCTAAGAAGGTTGGTGGAATATTTAGGACACATTGTTGATCTAATCATTACACTAATTTTTCCAAAATAATACATTATAAAATCTATCTTTTTGATTACTGCAGTAAAACTATTATAATGTAAAGTGTTAAACTTTTAAATCTTTGCTCAAGTGCAAAACTGTAATAACTTCTGGATTAATTATTTGGATAATTTTTAGCCTAATCATTACACCAATATTTGCAGTATAATACAATATTAAATCCTATCTTTTTGATTGAACTAAAACTGCTGCATGAAATATTTAGGATACATTGTTGATCTAATCATTACAATAATTTTTTCAAAATAATACATTATAAAACCTATCTTTTTGATTACATGCAGTAAAACTATTATAATAACTGATGCTGGAATATTTAGAGTAAAGTGTTAAACTTTTAAATCTTTACTCTAGTGCAAAACTGTAATAACTATCTTTAATTAAATACTATCTTTTTGATTGGACTAAAACTGCTGCATTGGAATATTTAGGATACATTGTTGGCCTAATCATTACACCAATATTTGCAATCACTTTTCTTATTGCAGTATGTACTTATTTCGAAACGTTAATTACAGTAAGAAAAAAGCTTATTCGTGATCGAAAACGCGCACAACAAATTTGTTTAATTTAATTAGCGAACATTTAATCGAAATTTAATCAATAATAAAGTATAAATCGTAAGGCATCAAAGGAAACCGAAACGTGACTTTTAATATCAAAATAAAACGCGTATACATTTCGGTATTTCACAAGAACCCAAATTAGTCATAAATTCAAAGTTTATCGACTGCTCTCTCGGCGCAATTAAAAATATTTAATAAACCATAAAATTCCGAAAGTCGATTGATAAATTAATGCGAACAATCAATTCCGTTTGTTATACTTATAGCGAATTAATCGAGAAATATATTATTCGATTTGTATTAACAGAAAACGCTTAATGCTCCATCGTTAGCGAAAGCGGCGCAATTTGCACATCAAATGCCTTATTAAAGCGATAAATAATGCCCTTGGTTAATTTCCAAAATCGACAAACACACTCTAATTAAGTCATTTTAACGAACATTCAGATATTAAAGTAACAATAATCAGATTAAATTTAACTTAACGAATGAACATTCCAATAGAAAATAATTGTTCATTTATCTAATAATTCAGGCTAAATTTTTCCCAATAATTCCATCAAAAAAAAAATCTTACAAGCAATTTCATCTCGTTTCGGAGCAATATAGCAAACATCCCTATTTATAACAAAACTTTAGGGGTAGTTGGATAAATACAGGGGATAGAAAACATACTGATTTTATTCGCATTTTCCGAATTTAGGCCGATTTTGTTTTTAACAAATGGCGTAGCGAATTCTCCGTTCCGCATGGGCGCCCATCCCCCCCGGTAAGGGGTAAATAAATAAGGGGGTTATTACGGTTCGGCGAATCGCGAATGCGGATTTATACATAATATAATTTCGTGGGGGTAGTTTATAAGACAATCGCTTCGCCGGATATAAGGGAGTTACTCGTTAAGGGTAAGATTAATTCCAGACGGTTTTCTACAGGGTGAATTTTGATGAGATAATTGGTGTGAAATGAACGAAAATTGGTGTATTTATTTAACTCACCCTGTAGGTATATAGAGCAAAGAAATACCAACAAATGTTTCCGATGGATATACGAGAGAAGTACAAAAAATATTTCCTATTCGGGGATTAACGTTTATACGAGGGCATTAAGATAAATTAGTTATAGACATCGATTTCACGAATACACGAAACGCCGAAGAGGCGATTAATCAAAACATTTTTAGCTCGACGTAAATCTGTCATTCGAGTATATCTGCCTACTTATAATTGTCTTCCAGCCACATGATTGATACGACTCCGTGAGAAATATCGATCGGAGAATGTCGAAACCCGTGAGAAAGAATGATCTAAAAGACGATATAATTTTTATACGCGAGACACTTTCTTCTAATTTTGCAACTTTGTTTATTGTGCAACTCGAAGCAATTTATCTTATTCGCCCCGTATTTTTTTTTCTGAATTTTAATATAGATTGATTTTTATCGCTGATTAGAGAACACTCTGATATTTTAACTATAACTATCGGATAACTCCGATATTTTTAATCAACTTGATGAAACTTTGAATCTAAACATTGGTTGTATAGAATTTTAAGAAGGGTGTAAGATATAGGTACAATTCTTTACATAATATTATTAGTTAAATTTTTCTTGTTAATTACATTGAATATATATAATTTTACGAGGGGTGTAAGATAAGACACTTACATACTAAAGACGCTAATCTTTATACGCGAGACACTTTCTTCTAATTTTGCAACTTTGTTTATTGTGCAACTCGAAACAATTTATCTTATTCGCCCCGTATTTTTTTCCACAATTTTAATATAGATTGATTTTTCTCGCTGATTAGAGTGGAACACTCATAACTCCGATATTTTTAATCAACTCGATGAAACTTTGAATCTAAACATTGGTTGTATAGTATTTTAAGAAGAGTGTAAGATATAGGGACTATTTTTTACACAATATTAGTAGTTAAATTTTTCTTGTTAATTACATTAAATATATTGAATTTTACGAGGGGTGTAAGATAAGACACCTACATACTAAGGACAATAATCTTTATACGCGAGACATTTTCTTCTAATTTTGCAACTTTGTTTAATTGTGCAACTCGAAGCAATTTATCTTATTCGCCCCGTATTTTTTTTCTGAATTTTAATATAGATTGATTTTTCTCGCTGATTAGAGAACACTCATAACTCCGATATTTTTAATCAACTCGATGAAACTTTGAATCTAAACATTGGTTGTATAGAATTTTAAGAAGAGTGTAAGATATAGGTACTATTTTTTACACAATATTATTAGTTAAATTTTTCTTGTTAATTACATTGAATATATAGAATTTTACGATGGGTGTAAGATAAGACTTCTTCTAATTTTACAACTTTGTTTATTGTGCAACTCGAAACAATTTATCTTATTCGCCTCGTATTTTTTTTCAGAATTTTAATATAGATTGATTTTTCTCGTTGATTAGAGTGGATATAGAACACTCATAACTCCATATAAACCGTTTTTTTTAATCTACCCGATGAAACTTTAAATCCAAACATTGGTTGTATAGAATTTTAAGAAGGTTGTAAGATATAGGTACTATTTTTTACACAACATTTAGTTAAATTTTTCTTGTTAATTACATTGAATATATAAAATTTTACAAGGGGTGTAAGATAAGACACCTATACATAAGTTAAATTCAACTCGTCGAAGATGTACAGCAAATTTCCAGTGCAGTTACGAGGGTTGCAAGACGAGTTAGTTCGAAACAGTTAATTTCATTAAGGACCTTGCGGGCGTATATTCGGGACGTCGCAAAGACAGGACGCAAGGGGATAGAGAATAGAAGCGTGTGTATATATATATATATATATATATATATATATATATAAAGCGGCTCGCCAGGACGACGGCGCAGGATCAGGATCGCAGCGAGAGCGGGTGATTCCCCGGGATGGAAGAAAAAAGCAGTACCTGAGCATTCGGCGATGGTCGAAAGCCAAACTGGGACATGTTGTGCGACCAGAACCGCCTCACTGACTCGCCGCCGATGCGATTTGTAGCCTCATCGCGCTATCACCAACACACCAACACATCCGCGCACTTTTCCACCATATATATAAATATATAAAATCGAAATTCCTCCGGAACGCACTGACGGTCACTATACGATAGAATCCCCCGCAAAACGGCGGTGTACAAACGAACGATCAGACGATTAGAGAGAATAAAAAAAAAATAATAATTTATCCGGTAGCCCCCGTAACGTCGATGCACCAGGTGCTAATTGCGGTCGCAGTAGTCGTGTCGTCGGCCGAGCACTTCTTTCTGGCCGCTCGGATTTTTGCGAAATCGGCCCCCCCCGAAGGGCGGGAAAAGGGGGGTGAGGCGGCCCCGAGAGGTGGGGGGCGCGGCGGAGAGCGGGGAGGCACACAAACACACACGCGAGATGGAATTCTAGCGGGAGCGGGAATTCTTTTAGCGACGCGAAACGACGCGATTTCTGTCGTTTGAACAAAAAAAAAAAATCGCGAAAAAAAATTGTTGGAAAAAAATGTGTTAGTATGCGTGTGTGTATTAATTAATAGTAATACAGCGTGTAGTGAAAATTGTCGCGCGCGAGTCGAGTTTCGATTCGATACTTCGATGCCCGACGCCGCTAGAACGAGTACAAACCGTGGAATTTTTCCCCTCGCTCGGTCGCTGTCGAGGCTCTCGATTTCGAATCCACCACCACTAAAAATCGGTCGCCCTACTTCTTTTTCGGGCGTGTCGGGGGGGCATTTTTCGCCGCGCCGTCGTCGACGCCGCGAGGGGGCGAGGGGGGCGCGGGGGGTGGGGGCGAGAGTCGGGCCCGTCGCCGCCTCGGGTCCGCCCCTTCCTCTCGCCCAATCGGGCGGCTCGCGTGATGGATGTGCCCGGCGTGTACACGCCGCATACGACTCGTGTTCGCACCTCTTCCACTTTGTTCTCGGCGTTTTAAAGGCCGATCGGCCCGGCCGGTTGGATGTCGATGTGGATGTGGATGCTCTATTTTGCTTATACGCTTTCGTATACATACGTTTGTGGATTTATATTTGGATGTGTACAGGACGTCCCGCGTTTTGGAACGTTTTTTTTTTTTTGGTATACTTGTATCGGGTGATTTGTTATTATGATTTTATTATGATATGTTATTAACCAGTTGGAACGAATTTTAGATTATTTTATTTTGATATGCTTGTACAAGATGATTTGTTATTATATTGTATACAGGTCGTACGAACTGATCCGCTGCAAGCATATATTGAGAATAATGAGATAGCTAATTGAACTTTTGCTATGTAAGGAATAAAGAGAGCATACAAAATAATCACTCCCGCTATCCCCGCTATTCGCTAGTGAACGAAGCGAAGCGAATTGACGAATTCTAATATCGGCCGGCAACCGATAAACAAGTTTCTGTTCTTTACTATCTTATAGTATTGATTGAGATTCTAATTCTAACGCTTGCAGCGGATCAGTTCGTACGACCTGTATAGGGTGATTCAACACGTGTATTTGATGTGTACAGGTTGTCACCAATTTGGGACGAATTTTAGATTATTTTATTTTTTTATATGCCTGTACAGGATGATTTGTTATTATGGTACTATTATGACATGTTTTTAACCAGTTGGAACGAAGTTTTAAACGAATTTTAGATTATTTTATTTTGATATGCCTGTATAGGATGAATTGTTATTATGATATTGTATGCAGGGTGATTTAACACGTGTATAATGTGTACGGGTTGTCTCCAGTTTCAATAGTTTTTAGGACTATTGTATTTTGTGTATTTTATTTTTATTTATTCATATAACAAAAACATATTTTAATAATAGGTATACAGGATGATTACTTCTACGCCTTTATACGTGTATACGTTTATCTATTTGATGTATAAAGAGTGTCCCTGTTTGGAACTTTCTTAAAACTATTTTATTTTAAAATATACTTACAGGATGTTTTGTTATTTAGAAAATGCTGGAATATTTGTTGTTTAATTCTAAATATAAGGATATACTTACCTAACTATATTTAATTTGTTGGAAAATTATTGGTGCTTTTGAGATAATTTTTTTTGAAAACTTTTAAGAATTTTCTTGGAAATGTATATACAGGGTGATTCAAAACATCAACCTAGTCTATTTATTTGTTTTTTTACCCAGTATAAATTGAATAACTAATATCCTTTTTCAGCTAAATGAGATTTAGCGCGCATTTTTAATATTATTCTACCTCTTTTTAATATACCTATACTGCTCCGCAAAAGTTAAGGAAGTTAAGGAAATCCACTCAGATATGAGAGAAAACATTTAATTTCGCATATTTGAAAATTTGATGATCAATAAGTCTGTAACTTTTAAAATAATCGCAAAATTTGCGAACTTCCTTAACTTTTGTGGAGCAGTTAATTTTCCCATTTATACAAAAACTATTTTTTTATTTATTTTATAATCATTTTTTTATAGGTAATAGTAACTGATATAATAACGACTTATTTTTCAAATACATGTGTACCTAATTTTTTAAACTAATGTATTGACTTAAAAATTTATTTCATTAATATACAGGATGTCTAAAATAATTCATATAAAATTGTTGCGCCAAAAATTCTACTTAGTATTTACGAGATTACGACAAAAATTTCCTATACTTGTTTTTCTACAAAATTTCTAGCGCTTCCACCAAAAACTCAAAAATTCTATTTTCTCCACCAAAATTTAGCGCATCCGCCAAAATTCACCAATATCACAACTACAATTTATAACCCATTTTTCTCCATAAAATCATGAATTATTAGTAATCCAATTTTCCGCCATCACTAATCGTAAAATCGATCAAAATCGCAGGTAAAAAATGAGTCCATTTTCCCGTATAAATCTATTTATTCGCCAACGAAAATCGCAATAAACAACTTTTCCAGGATATAGTCCCCGAGGGGCAACCCCCGCACAAAATCGTCGGCTTCGCTTAGCCGCGTCGCGACGCCGAGCGTCACCCTAACAAAGAGCCCGAAATACACCCAGAAAAAGAACCACTCAACTGATACTAACGATTTTCCCATTTGTATTTAATTTACAAAATAATTTGTTAATATCGTAAATTATCGAATTACTTATTGTCAAATAGGAAGCTGAATTAACCGGACGGGAGACTGATCGTTCAAATGGATGTGTGCCAATAAGTCAGTTTTTTTGTGTAGTTAATCCTCCAATTTTACTACTATCATATACACCCAGAAAAAGAACCACTCAACTGATACTAACGATTTTCCCATTTGTATTTAATTTACAAAATAATTTGTTAGTATTGTAAATTATCGAATTACTCATTGTCAAATAGGAAGCTGAATTAACCGGACGGGAGACTGATCGTTCAAATGGATGTGTGCCAATAAGTCAGTTTTTTTGTGTAGTTAACCCTCCAATTTTACTACTATCATACATCGAGTGGAATTTGTTACAATATCACTACACGGACGGGACACTAATCGTTCAAAAGGATGTGTGCCAATAAGCCAATATTCATATCGTTCGCTCCATTTCCGATTGCAACATGGTCATTTCTATGAGTGGAACAAAGAAAGATTAATAAAATAACAGTTGTCAGAGTGAAAAGTTGCAATGACATAAATGTCACACTTTCCTTTTCCTTTATAAATGACTAATAGAAGTTGTCTTTATCGCACCTATAGCCTATATAACCTATGTTGCGATCAAAAATGGAGCAACCTGTACATTAATTTCGTTATAATAAAATCATTACCTTTTTACCAGTGTAACTACGACACATTGTGCTCGCTACACTGAAAAATGTAATTCGTCGATTATTCAAATCGATTAAAATTCCCCGCCTATAGTTCTTCCCCGACCGTGCCATCAGAAGAAGAACACCCAACATGGTATATATACAAACGAAAGAACGCCGCGATTTTCTTCGGCTCCCTCCCGGGCGTCTCGGGAAAGTGGCTCAGCATCATCGCATGGACCAATGGCGGGCCATTGATTTCTTCGAGCGGGAGGCGGTCACCGTGCGACCGCCTTAACGTGATCAAGCGTCAGGTGTGAGTGATAACCTGGACCCGGTCGAAGCGCCGGAAGTGCGCTCGAAGCGCCTTATCTTCGACGGTTTCTTCGGTTCGTTCGGTTTTGTGGAAGAAAGAGGAACGCGGATCGTGATTGATGATCCGCTTTTTTAATTGTGATTTATCGACGGCGACGTTTAATGGATTTCGATGTACCTATAACCCGTTGCTCAATGAATAGATTCGATTCGGTGTAAAGAGATTGGTCTAATGAAGAGCCGCGAATTATTCGAAATATCGAAGTTCTTCTAGAATTTAGATTTGAGAATTTAGTTTTTTTTTTGTAAATGGGCGAAGGAAACGAAACGTTCACCTCGCGGAAGGTTCACGTCGTTTATTTTAAAAAGGTGTGTAATTTAATTTTGTTAAAACATGTTAACTAAATGGCCGGTGGCGATAAATAATGATTCATTTATAATTTCGAATAATGCATACTTATGTTACACGCCCAGTGGTGTACCTACTCAGAAAATTAACAAAAAAGTAATATTACATTTTGTAGTGATAAAATAAAATTAACTCGAATTATTGGCACACATCCCTCGATCGAACAATCTCCAGTTCGTGTAGTAAGAATATTGTAAGATATTCCATTCGGTGTTTGATAGTAGCAAAATTAACTCGACACAACCAACTGACTTATTAGCACACATCCCTCGAGCGACCAGTCTCCCGTCCGACCAAAAAATTATCTCGTTTTTTTTTTCGTTAACAGCGATGTATCAGTCGCGTTAAATGTTTCTATTTAGATTAATAAATTAATATCCCAAGGCGTACCTACCACTGGTCGAAGCAACGAGTGTAACTTCTTGAAGGAAATAAATAACGTTAATTAGCATAAGCGATACTATCAGCGTTTTTTTTCCCCTCGCTATATAAATACCGTATTTACCTCAGGTGTTTG